CTCACTAACCAGCGTTCTCTGTTCTCCTTAGTGGATTTCCAGTTCTTTGCCATATGTGATATATAAAGAATGAATAAATTTGCCAAATTAACTATTTCAAAGACTGACATGAGGATTTTCTTTGCTTAATAAAAATTTAAAGGAATTACTCGGTAATTCATTAGGAGACTGCAACTGAGGGGGTTAAAAATATGAATGTTTGTCTCATTTCAAACATTATAAGTTCTGTGAAAGCACTTGTTTTCTTCTCAAAGAGGAGTCTTGCTGTGCTGCCCAGGCTGGTCCTGAACTTCTGGGCTCAAGCCATTTTGCTTCAGCCACTTAAGTAGCTGGGACAACAGGTGTGTGCACCTGGCTTTGAAAGCACTTAAATCAGTTAATACCTATCATTAACTAAATTTATATTTGATACTAATATGTAGCAGAAATTAAAATCGGGGTGTTATTTGCAGGACAATTGTAGAGTGTTATGGTCACTGTCACTCTTCCAATTCCATCGACAGCCCTCAGGCTTGTTCTTGGTGATGTATTTGATGGATTTACACAAACTGTGTTATTTGAAATTATGTGATTTCATTGTTTCAATATTTTGTTCAAACATTATTAATATAAATGACTAAAGTATTTGCATGAAGTTTAAGACTGATGATCAAAGGCACATCTTTAAAACAAATGATAAACTGTGATGTTGGGCAAGTTACTCAGACTGAAGCATGGTTTCCTTATCTGAAAAGTTAGATAATAATAATTACCCTAGAGTCTGTTCAGGTTACTTGTGTCAAGATATTTTAAATGTGCCGTGTCAGGCACATGTTAAGATTGAAAAATGATAGTTATTATTGTTTATACTAATAGAAACAGTTGTTATAACTGTAATAATAATTTCACGTCTATTCTTCTCTAGATTAGATTTAGAATTTGAAAAATTCCTATTAACTTTCAGCTTAACCTGATCTACTCCCTGCTAATGTATGTCACCTTCTGGTTGCTGCTGGAACTGGGGTATCAATAGGCTCGGAGGTGTCAAGTCATCCTTGTGCAGTTATTTCCTGAAGGGCCTCCTCTGAATGCCATGAAAAATACATGTGTTGATAAATAACTCAGTTGATTAAATAACCCAGGGAACTTTTCTCAACTATTTCCTCATCACAGCCTCTGTTTTGTCCCCTTAAAAACACATAACATGGCTTTATCTTGGGGTTCTAGCTCTTTGCCAGGATCTGCAATTAATATGTCATATCTATAAAATTTTATTTTGTCTGAATACCAATGGTGTCAAAGAGAAAGTTAAAGGTACCTGTTAAAGGTACCTGTTAAAGGTACAATGACTGAGGCTAAATAGAGATTATTTAATCTGTCCAGAGTCACAAAATCAATAAATTCTTCAACCGTGATACAAATACATTTTCTTTATAATCTGTTTCCTTTCATATTGTATCTTAGTTCTTGTAGTGTTAAGTCAGGGGGAAAAATGAAGAGCTCTTAGATAATAATTTTATGTCCCAAGGAATAGTATTCCACTTCTTCCTGCCCTCTGGCATCCTTAGCCACCATCAAACCCCAAACATCAGAAACAGAATTTAAATAAATGTCACAAGAAGACATGCCTTGAGTCATGTTCTTGGTCCTGAATCTTCCTAACATATCTTCAGCATTTTACAAAGTTCAGTGATATTTGAAGATGATCTACCACTAGATACCTAGCAAATGATCAGTGGATAATGTTTCTACAATTTTTTGGTTTTGTTTTTTATTTATTTAATTTTTAATTTTTTAATTTGTTCTTTTTAGATACACCTGACAGCAGAGTATATTTTGACATATTATACATACATGGGGTATAACTTATTCTAATTAGGATCCCTCTTTGAGGTTGTACATGATGTGGTGTTTACTGGTGGTGTATTCAACAATAGATTTTTTTTTGAGTTGAGAACTTTCATTAAAAATGTTTACCTAGAGACAAATGAGGACTTAAGTCATAGGGTTGATTGGTTTCTTCCTTAGGAATTGTCGAATCCTAAAATTCATAGGAGATTTCCTGCTTTCCATCTCTGTGAAGTGAAATGTCAGGTCAATTGGTAGCAGTTGTGCTGAATGCCAAGTGCTTTTGTTAAATTGCTTCTGTTCCAAGTTTGAAAAGATGACTGTGATAATCCCCAGGAACCCCTGGAGAGAAGCTGGAATTGTGATGGTGGTTCTCATGGTGCTGAGGACTCCCATGGCTAACAGAAGAGATTCCCCAAGTAAGTGCAGGACAGCTGCTATTCAGAGCCCAGATTTGGAAATAATTTCTTGGGGGCTCTGGAGCCTAAGCTTGGGTCTGTTGTATTTTCAACAAACCACAGGTAGAATTTGGAAGGACTCTTACAAGAGTCTTGATTTCTCCTTCTTAGAGTTTTGCTAGATTCCTTTTTTCAACCTCTCTAGTGGAAGGGAGGCTAATATCTCTAAAGGACTTTGGGATCTCAGAATTGGAAGAAAAAGACAAAGTACATTTCTATACCAGACACAGTACAAAATGCAAATGAGGTACTTGAGAAGCATCAGGTAAGTTAAAAGAACTGGCCACTCTGAGGATTTTCTGGGCCCAATAGTATTCATCTATTTAGGGGCTTGGGATCAGACAAATTCAGACCAGAGCTATAGTCTCTGGAGCCTCAATACCTGAAGAGCACAATGAATCACCCATGCCTTGGAGGTAAGCAGTGGGGTCATGGAGATGACATGTGGGACTTGGGAGGAAGAATGGGATAAGGACAGGCAGTTAGTAATTCTGGGCTAATTAGGACTTGATTCAGTATTGATGGTGTACGGGGGCTATGACAATGGTGAAAAAAAAACCTCCAAAATTGATATTTATTTTGCACCCATTAAATCCCAAATGTGTAGTGATAGTATTACATCAACTGTCTCACCTGGTCTTTCTAAAGCACACACACAGATACAAATTGATGACTCCAGGGTATGTATTATTATAGTGTATTTTTAACTAATTATTAGGAAAATAACACAACAGACATCTTAACACACACACGTAACAAAAATTACAAAGAAGTATCCAAATAACTTCTAATCAAGTTGTACATATGTAAATATTACCAATTCTTCAAATGACTTCTGTGTACTCCTTTCCAACAGTACCCATTTTCACATTCCAGGAGTAAGTTATATTGTGATTCTTTTAATCCTAATTTGTTTTGCTCATTGTTAGCATATATGTGAATGTATCCTTAAACAATATAGATTAATATTTCCTCCTCTAAATGTTCCATAAATGCTGTGCTCTGTCTTGCTTCCTTTCTCAAAATTATGTCTGAGAAGACTTGCCACAAATCTCTGATGCAACATTCATCCATTTTCGTTGTTGGGTAGTATATTCCATTTTATGAGGGCAGAGCAATGTACTTAACCTGTTCTTATGTGGATGGAGGTTTGGGCTGGTCTTACTTAAAAGAAAATGTACGCTGGAATCCTGGAACCTTTGGGTCTGCATTTCTCTAGACTGAAATAAATACTTCAATTGCAATGTCTGCCTATCTTCAACTTGACAAGACAAAGTCCAACTGTTATTCACATTAGTTGTCTCATGAGCTGTTCAAAAGAAAATCCAATTCTTGACAGCTTTTGGTATCTTAGACTATTTAATGTTTCCCTTTCTGGTGAGTGTGTAGTGTTATGGGAACTTCTATTTTTTTCCGTATTTATCTTTTTCTCATTTATTTCAAAAAGATAAAAAATATATTTCAAATCAAGCCCATCATCAGTATGTGCTTTGAAAATATTTGTACTTTTGGCCTTGTGTAAGTCTTTTAATGATATTTCTTGATGAGAAGAAGCTGTTACTTTTATTGAATTGAATTTATCAATCTTTTTTATTTATGTCTAGTGCTTTTAATGATTTAAGAAATCTGTCACAACTCCAACATCATGAAAATGTTCTCTAGTTTTATCTCCTAACAGATTTGTAGCATTTCATTCATACTTAGGTCTATGTTACATATGGTGCAAGAAGTATGCCCAATTTCTTCTGCTCCTTCTGATGTATTCCCATTTATTAGAAAATAATTTATTAACAAAAGTATTCATTCCTCACTGACCACCTTGTGTGCCACCCTTGTAATATATTTAGTCTAAATGGTTGCATGAAACTTATTTTGGAATACATTATTGCCATTTATTTATCTATGTCTGTGCCCAAAATATGGTGTTTAATTACCATCTTTGCCTTATGAACCTTTATTGCATTTTAGAATCAACTTATAAATTTTGAGTAATCACAAATTGGTAGGAATTTTAAATTATACACACAGAATCCATAAGACCATTTGAGATAATGTCCTCTTTATAATATTCAGTCTTCCAATTCATGTACAGGTGTATCTTTGTGTTTACTTAGGACCCTTTTGATGTATCTCATAAATTTCATGGTTTCCCTTTTAGAATTCTTGTATATTTTTATAAGATTTCTTCATAATTTTTCATGCCATTATAAATGATGTAATTCACATTTGATTTCACATTTGTTGCTCATCTATTTGTAGAATATTTAAAAATGGATCTTGTATCCAGCCATTTGCTGAACTCTCCCTTACTTTAAATTCTTTTAGTTAGCAGATTATTTAGGATTTTGGTTATTTACAGACCCAGCATATGAAAATGCTGGCAATTTTGTTTCTGTATTCCAAACATTATTCCATGATCTTCCTTGTTTGACATTTTTAACTTTCTCCAATAAATGATCAATGCAGGATTTGAGGTAGAGAAATCACTTCATTCATCCTGGGAATAAAATTCTGAGGGTTGAGAGCAGATTTTATTTAGTCACTGGTCTTTGTTGTCATGTTCCTTTACTCGCTTGTCTCCCTAAACCAAACACAGGGTTGGTTGGGATGCAGCCTGAGCTAAATCTAACCTGGCCTGGTTCTCCTGCAGAGGATTTCATGGACCAGTTTAAGGGCACCTGCTACCTCACCAATGGGACTCAGTGAGTGAGGCTCATGGCCAGACAAATTTACAATAAGGAGGAGATCCTGTGCTTTGACAGTGATGTGGGGGTGTTTGTGGCTGTAACAGAGCTGAGGATGTCAAGTGCCAAGAGCTGGAATGCCCAGAAAGACCTTCTGGCTGAGTATCGGGCCCATGTAGACACCTTGTGTAGACACCACTATTAATAGACGTCTTCCTTCACTGTTCAGCAGAGAGGTGAGTTTAGGACTGATCAAAGTGCACTCATCTCTGAACTAGTGTGGAAGGCCTGTGGGGAAGGCAACTTTGGGGATTCCTAGGATTTTGGCAAAATTGGGAGGGCATTTGAATTGAAGGAAAAACTGTTGAAATACTTGGTAGGCAGCATTGGAAGAGTGTATTAGTCAGCTTTGAGTTACTGTAATAAAGTGCTTGAGATAATTAACTTAAATACAGGAGAGGTTTATTTTGATTCACAGTTTAGTCCATGGTTGGTTGATAGCACTGATTTTGAGCCCCTGGTGCAGTAGCACAACATAGTGGGGAAATACAGAGGAGGAGAGCATTGTTAGTTAATTGTATTCTGTGAAA